GGCTGTAAACGAAATTAATAATTAAAGTAGAACGACTGCATTTAATTAACGTAATTGAAATATTAAAAATTTAAATAGTGAAAACGATGGTTTGTTGCTTGAAAACGAGACTTTAAAGTGAAAACGAGACTGGAGGGCACGTTTACCCTCTGAATGTAATTAATTGTTCATGTCAGCGCCCAAAACTTGACAAGGGTGGCCAGATTGAACAAATTGTACATTATTTTTGCTTCAATCGAGCAGATATCGGTTTTGCACCAAAACGAGGATTTAATCGCGAAAGTGAGGCTGAAGGCCCAGCCCAAAACTTGTATACCATCGATTTTCGAACTCAGCGGCCCGAAATTGACCAAATCCACGTGGTCTCATAAATTTTCCGTCGGGGAACCATTCCCCCCTTCTGCGCCTGGTTTACTTCAGTGTCGTAAAGTGTCTAAGCCGTCTCCTCTCCGGACACGTAAGTGGTAAGAAGGAAGCAAAACATTTCTGCTCATACTGCTTCAACTACTTTGGGACAGAAAAACGTATTACCAACCATATCAAAGACTGTCGTGAAAGCGGTCGACAACGAACAATATTTCCGGTTGCAATAGGCGACATAAAGGAAAACGGGATAAAACAAGAGTAGAAACCAATGATAACGTTCAAAAAGCACAAGCACACCACGAATGTGCCGTTCTCAATACAAACCGACATCGAATGTATGATCATGGATATTCCGGACAAACACTGGGAAAACAAGGAAGTTGGACAAGGTACAAGGAAAAGATTCAGGAAAGTACACGTTCCATATATAACCGGATTCATAATCACATCAAACATGAAGATTAAGGGCTTTGAACCCACCATGATCATCATCAGGAAAAAGGACGACGACCACGATCTAATAAAAGAATTATGCAACACAATGTCAGAAGCTGTCATGAAGTTATACGACAAACACTTTAAATCCAAGGTTCCGATAAATATGACCCCAAAGGTTGAAAGGGACTACAACTCAAGCAAAAATATGTTACCTATGCTCAGAACTATTCTAACCGGACGGCAACGAGATATACCAAAAAGTCAAGGACCACTGTCACTTCACAGGAAAGTACCGTGGAGAAGCGCACAGTATATGCAACCTATGGGCAAGAAAACCAGATTTCATCGCGGCACTATTCCACAACCTCGAAGGTTATGATGAACACCTCTTCCTACTCAGCTTAACCGTAAATGGGAAAATGTAACAAGCATCCCCTTAAGTGAGGAAGAGCATAAAAGCATTTCCAAAGAAATTTTACGGCATCGCATCCCCGGAAAGGAATATGGAAAAACAAAAGCCTTCAACCTAAGATTCATTGACAGCGCAAACTTCCTGCAATCATCCTTACAAAAACTGGCAGAAAACCTGTCTGAGAACGAATTCAACTATAAGGAAGAATTTTTTGGAAAGCACCCAATCCTAAAGCAGGAGGGTGTATTCCCTTACGAGTACATCGACTGTATGGAAAAGCTAAATGAAACATGCCTTCCTTCCAAGGAAAAATTCTTCTCATCACTAACAAACGGAGGAATTTCCGATGAGGATTACATCAGAGGACATTACATGTGGAACAAATTCGGGTGTAAGACCCTATAGGATTACTCAGAGGTTTTCCTTAAAATGGATATTCCATTCTCACAGACGTATTCGAAGACTTCCGCAAAATGGCCAAGAAAATCTATGGTCTGGATCCACTATGGTACTACAGAGCCCCCCAGATTATCCCTGGACGCAGCAATAAAGTTCACCAAAGCAAAACTGGACCGGATAACAGAACCAGCCATGTCCCTTTTCATTAAAAAGGGTAAACGAGGTGGAATATGCATGGCTGTAACAAGATATGCCAAAGCAAACAACCCACACCTAAAGGACTACGATCCAAGTAAGGAAAAAAGCTACTTCCGTTACTGGGATGCTAACAACCTCTACGGATCTGCTATGTCAAAACCCCTTCCGGTTCAAAATTTCAAGTGGATGGCAGAAGACCAATTCGAAAAATGGTGAAGAGCAAATCCGAAAAGAACTTCTTCAAGCCCATGAACAATGCGGTATTTGGTAAGACGACGGAAAACGTCCGAAACCGTGTGGATGTGCGGATGGCCACTTCGAAAAAGCAAATTAACAATTTAGCCAGAAAACGAACTACCCGTCCTTCAACATCATCTCAGAAAACCTAACCTCAGTGAGAATAAAAAGATCAGTAGTGATGCTGGACAAACCAATCTACCTGGGAGCCACCATCCTAGACATGTCCAAAATCGAAATATATGAATTCTGGTACAACTACGCAAAGCCCACATGGAACGATAGATCAAACTGGCCATGACAGATACAGACAGCCTATTCGTACGCATTAGGACAGACGATGTAGACGCAGACATCCTCAAAAGGGGTGACCATCTCAAATACTTCGACCACAGCAACTACAACGAGGACCACCTAATGTACTTCCTCAACAACAAAATGAAGCTCGGATTCATGAAAAACGAAACCGGTGGAGAGGAAATAAGCGACGCATGTGCCACACGAGCAAAGATGTATGCCTCTGAGATGGGTGATGGATCAGAGAAAAAAAAAGGCAAAGGGTGTCCGAGGGTATATCGTAAAGGGTGGTCTTACATTAGGCAACTACGTCAACTGCATGAACGATCCCGAAAAGAAACACATGGTGGAAATGAATGGACTCCGAAGTTATCACCAAACCATGTACTCCGAAACCGTCAACAAGGTCGGGTTATCTGCAAACGACGACAAACGCATCATCTGCAAAGATGGGATACACACCATGGCAATAGGACATACGAATCTGAGGCAATGAAATTCAAGCAGATCAAATTTTAATACCCCGGACGAAGTATTAAAATTACGATGTGTCTATATCATCCTCTTCCATGGTTCAGAGGCCTTTGTCCCCAAATACTTTGCTTCCTGGAGCTTGACCTAAATGGAAGCCATGTTTCCAGACAGGTATATACCTGAAATCCTGATCAAAGCATTCAGGTAGAAATGCTCGTCTCGCTCCGCCATCGGATTCATATCCCCAACGTCTCCATACATCACCGTACTCTTGTCGATCATTGAATACAACACGGGTCGTTTCCCGCCTCGGTAAAAGCACCTACCTTATCACATTGGTGCCCGGTTTGCCGACCATTGCGGCACACTTCTTCTCCATTATTTCCAGGGCTTTTGTAAATTCCGTGTGTGAACCAATTGACAACGGAATGGTGTGATTATCCCTTTCAAACTTGTTGTTCTTCTTAATTCCATAAGCTAGGCAATTATCCAGCTTAAGAAGGAGAGGACCACCATCCTCCGCAACAAGATCGATCATTTCGGATCCAAACCTGTTCTTGGCAGAACCGGCAAATCTGAATGAGTATTCGGAGAAGTTTTCTACCCCGGTTATGGAAATGGACATGGTTTATTTTATTATACAGATTTTATCTATAAAATGTTGATTCTACCCCAACACAAAAACCCCAAAAAGACTCCGGTAAACGCGTGGGACGAAAGAACTACGACGGTTGTGGCAGACAGACTGCGGAGGACTTGTACATGGCTGTGCGGAAATGTGTGGAAGACATATACATGACTGGGCATGCGCACGGCCGCTCATGGCTGCATTTGGCTGCACGTGGCTGTGCATGACCGCGCGCGTACGTGAAGAGACGTCCGGTAGGCAGAGTGTTCCCAGTGGGGTGCAGGGGACTGAGAACCAGAAGTTGCGTCATGACTTCCACCCCCGGAATTCCAAACTCGTCCAATATCCGCGTTCCGAACACGTCCAAGCAGGACCGATCTTTAAAAAAGAGGTTCCAGAACCCAGAACCCACAAAAGGTAGCCAATATCCGCCCTTCCACACTACTGATATACACTCAGAGTATAAACATCACAAGCATCATGTTCACCTGAGTACATTACACCAACAAAGAAAAATTCATGACTATTAGATTACAACGATATCGAAGGAACTAGACTCAGTTCCGAAATATCTCATACTCGAACCGACCTGACCAGGTAGTTCAGTTGGCAGAGCATTGGCCTAGTGATACAAACGTCGTAGGTTCGATTCCCATCGCCGCCAGGCATATTTTTCAAGCTTGCCCGGTGTGGATATACACTAAGAGCAACATGACAAGCATCATATTCACCTGAGTACATTTCACCAACGCAGAAAAAATTCATGTAGTTATAATTGTTTATCAGTATTATCCCCAGTCATTTGGTTAGCTGTTAATTCAGTCAACTACAGTATTTATCATGGGAGAATTGCAATATTACAGAGGAAGTAGAGATGTACAGTTAATTATCTAAAACAAATTAGAT